AACCTGACTGGTTTTAGAGACATGAAGCCTAAATTCTGCTAAAAGATACGCCTAAATATTACACAGTAGTCCTTAAAGCTCAAAAAATGATTGCACTAATCATGCACAAATATGTTAATTAAAATGAAATGCCGGGTTTAGATGATTTTAATTTAAAACTCTGTGGCAACGTGAATTCTTCAAGGATTATTAGGTCTGTATCACCTGTCACAGTCCTTACCTGGAGCAACATCAGGTCGTTGGTTCTTGTTGTTCTGTTGTAGTAGGGGTGAGGAAAGTGTCCAATCACGTTTTTGCGCTGCCTGTATTTTTTTTCCTTTTTGCTGTCTCGTATAGAGTGTACCCCCAGTTCTGCAATATCAATGCTGCAAGAGCAAAAAAATAAATAAAAAATAAAAAATAAAAATAAGGTAGTTTTAAAATTCACCCAACAGTGGACACAGTGCATGCTGTAATGAAAAAAATCAGTCTAGCATGTAAATACAGGGCTGGTAAGCTCAATTCCAATAACAATACTTGTCATGTTAATTGAATAATTATGTAATTTTGCCTTTATGCTGCATTCAGACTGAACAAGTTTTGTGTGTCAAGTTGGACACTTGTGCACTTTGAAGTCAGATGCTTGATACTGAGTCAAAATCCCTCYAGATGCATGTCAAGCAAAGTGTGGAAAGGTGCGCAATGGGAGGCTRCTCTTGGTTGTTTTACTTCTGGTCTCTACTGTGGAGGATGAAACTGAGATAGTGTCAATACTTTTGACCGATACTCATCTTGGTATCAATAGTATTGATACTGAGATTGATGGGCATCACTTCTAATACAGGGGAAAGACAAAAAACACTAGAAAATCAAGGCAACATAAACACAGACCATGACACAGCATGTCTACACATGTGATGAAAACATGACGTTTTACATAAGATGACACTGTCATATTGTGTTTGATCACTGCCCAAAAGTTAAAAAATAATCAAAAATATCATCGGTGCTGCTTAGAGTCCACATAACAAGGGTAGAGTTTCAAATAATGCATTACTTATCTCATGGTTTTCTGTGAAAAGGAATAAAAAATTACGTGATTGTTGCCAAATCTTTGTATATATTAAAGAGAAYGATAAAAAATCTTGTATTCTGAAGAAATATGGAGAAGCATAAGTGAATCCATGCAAATTGTTGTTTGAACTGAAGTTTAGCTTTGCCTTTGTGTTTTCAGTTGGTTTGATATTTTTTTTGTAATTTACTTTAATTTTGAACATATTCTGGGGATAAAAAGGGGCAGATATTAGAAGATTTATTCTTCTTCTGCTGCCTTTCATTTTATTTGATTTTAATTTTATTGCATGTCTTTTTTGTTTTTTGTTGTGTATATAATTGTTACAAATTGGGTTTTTTTGTGTCACTTCAGTAGAAAACGAAACCAAATATTATTAGTTTATTTAGTTTATTTATTTCTTCATCATCAGTGACTTTATTTTTTTGTTAAAGTTCTTACTTGGTGCAGAGTGCAGCAGTCAGAACCCATCTTGGATGGATTAAAGTTCCTCCACACTTTGGTTTCTTTTCCTCCAGCAGAGCCATGAAGGGCAGTGAGTGTGGCTGCACTTCTTTTCCATTGATGATCTCAGATCCATGACTTAACACAAAAACACAAACAGATCTTTTTTGTACAAAAAATACATAAAATACAGTAAATCCTGACAAAATAACTGCACTTAGGGAATGATTACTCACTCAAGTTGACAACAAGGACAAAGATCCAGGAGAGGAGAGCRATAAAACCCCTGACAGAGAACATTTCCTCCTGTCTGTCTTTGATCTGCTGATGATGACCTTCTCTGGATGGTTACCTTGGCTTTTATGTGTTTTTCTCTGAAACATGTGATCTTTGAAATACTTGCATCATAATAAACACATATCTGACAGGATATCTTATTCTGAAGTCTGTGGTAACTTTTCAGATGAACCTATTTGAATATTTTTCTGCGGTTGCGCAATGGAATTTTGTTGTTTGTGTGATAAAGATAAACATCAGTGGGTGCAAACTGGCAAAAACCACTGAATGCATATGTAAAAAAACAAAGAAATGCATGAACAGAAGAATGCTTGATCTGTTAAGAGCTTTGTAGGTCAATATGCTGGTGATGATTCATAATTATACAGATCCAAAAAATAGAGAAATGTCTTGATCACATGCATGATGGTGTTAATTTGGGTGAAACTGAGTAGGAATCAAACTTATTGCTGTCTTGTAACTTTTTGAATGCTGAAACCTGAGACCTCCTCTRTTTAAAGTTGAACATATTGGTCCTCAAAAGATGTCCTTTATCCTTGAGATGTTGGTAAACAGCTGAGTCTTGTCCTGCRTTGAGCCATACATTCGTGAAGAGGTTGTTCAGTTTCTCCGTCATAGAGGTCTGAACATTGGTCACTGCACTGAACTGACACCGCCACATATAAAACCTTGAAGAGACCCAACCAGCTCCTACAGAAAGATCACAGACTACCTGCAACAACTTGAAAGCCCRTCATCGGCAGCATTAATCCTGTGACCCACCACTAATGGTATCTAAGCCCCTTTTGTCTGAGCCATACATGATACATAGGGAACTCCATGGAATTTGCCAACAAAGTCGAACATCTATGGATGGCACCAGGAGATCTGGTATCTTTTGACATCACTTTTCACTTGCATTCTCACATCAGAAACAGTGGAAACTCTCAGGAAATGTCTTCAACAGGATAGTGACTTTAACAATGGGACTAATTTCACTCTGGACCAAATCTGTACCCTGCTGGACCTTTGTCTTTCCACCACCTGCTTCAGGTTCAATGATCAGGGACCAGAGTTACAGTAGTTCAGTCTAGATCAGGGGTATCCACTTGTAATTAACTTGGACTTTTCGTGTTTAACTTCGAGTTAACTCTAAACATTATATCCCTTGTCTCATTGGACTGAGCTAACAGACAATAGTTGAGCTCTACATGGTATTTCGAGTAGAAACAGCTTTTTAACAGGTCTTCTTGTACACACATACAAATACTTCATGTACAACTTTTACTGAAAGTAAAGGTACCAGAGTGTTACTCACTGGTGGGTCATGGTGAGCAGCCACTATTTTGTTCTGTACTGGGTTAGTCGACTTTCCGACAGGGAAATCCCACTGGTGTTCCAGTGAAAAGTAATGACCTGTGAAGTGGGAAATTCCCACTTCCCAGTGCAACTGGGCCACAGCAAAAGTAGCCTGTGAAAATGCAGTTAAATTGAGATTTTACACAGCAAATTTCACTAACTGACAGCTACTTCTGAGCACCTCCACCTAGTGGTGGTCATACTGGGAGCAAAATAATCAACGTGCATTATGGGAGAGTTTATGGTCAATTCTGCTGTGTACGCTTATTTTACAAGCTTAATACATCTTTGAAGATGTTGCATTATATAATTTACTATTACTATGACTTTGACCCTAATTAATTAATTAATTAATTAATTATTGATATTGCATGTGAGAACATCTGGGTTAGTAAATTATATTTCTGTATTTATTGGCAACTGTCAACAACTAAGTTGCCGAGCAGCTGAATAGGGGAAACTGTTGGCACGCCCGTTGTTCAAAAGGAAGAAAAAAATCCAAGCTGAAATTAAAGCTCCTTTAATGGCATTAATGCTTAAAGATCCATGGTAAAACAGGCGTCCATATTCCAAGGCAGTGAGAAACGAGCAATCAAAGGCTAAAATGTCATTTTAAGCACAAAGTTCTCAAGGCTTAAAGCGGTCAGCAATAGTTTGACTTCCCCCATCACCCACTCAAAAAACAATCACTGTGAGCAGACAGGTGGTCTTAAATTACYATTAACACCATGTGATATTCCCCACAGTATTTAACTGACAATAAACCAATTATATTTGTTGACCAGCGGCGTATCTAGGATGTTTCTAAGTATGTGGTAATCGAGGGACCATAATATTCATAGAGGGGCCAAGTATTTGTTCAGTATCCTTGCACACAAATCCCTGGTTTTGGTAAGGTGTATATATAGGGTGCACAGTAAATTGTACTTACCAATTTTACATGCATTTTTAATGTACATAGATAAAATACTCTCAAACACAGCATGTGAGAAAATCTAGTCATCACTGGTGAGTTGAGATACTTTTTTTCTGTAGGATTGTTCAAATTTTCAGAAAAGAAAAAGATTTCTATCAGCTTGATTCATGCTGGACATTTCTATTGGTCTCATTTGGCGCCTCTAGTGTTTGGACATGGAACTGCACCCAGAATCATCACTCTCGCAAAGGATAGATGAGTGACAAGACAGGGGCACTTCAGGGAGCAAATCAAATTTCACTGGGGGCCAATGCCAATGAGGCCCCGCCCCTAGAACCGCCCCTGCTGTTGACCTACAGATTTTGAACATAAAGCAGAAAGTTGATGAATGTCTTTTTTTTTTTGCAGACTGCTTCTCTCCTATTGGCCAATACCATTTTYAGTCAAATGAACTGTATTTGAAATGTGAAGTATTTTCTTTAATTGTTCATGAATGTTTTAATTTTTTTTACTCTAAGGAGGATAAATTTATTTGTTATATGGCACATTTTTATATTCTTAATTTTGATACCAGTAAACCTGATGGAAAATCAAATCAACCCAAAACTAAAAAGAAGTAGGAACAACTCTACATCTTCAATAGCAGTTTGGCAGAAAATGATTTTGTTTGGATTCTGCAGATATTGGAAAAAAAGTGAAGTGAATTAAAGTAAAGGTCAAAAATGGAGTCTTGTTTCAGTCACCAGGACATCTAATAAATGTCTCCCATTTATGTTATTGTTGGATTTCAACCCTAATGAAGCAGTAATATATTATTGCATAAACTTAAGATTTATTAATAAATGCAAAGAAAGGCAGAACAAGCAGAGAGCAAAAGGTTAAGCATCATTCAGATGAATAAATTCATTGTATTTGAGCCATCTTCATCGTCATCTTGATCCAGTCGTGTTGGTCTTCTGTGAGCAAAGCGTACACCCCAGGTTTGTGTATTATTCCACATCCTGCTCCAAAAGAAGTAACTCCAACCTGAGCTCCGTTACAWATTATCGGCCCTCCAGAATCCCCCTGGAAAAGGAAAAACAAGCACACACACACAAATTGGTCACTTTCAGACTATTTAGGTAAGATAAAAGGCTTTAAGTCCCTCTTACCTGGCAGGTATCTGCAACGTTATCACCATTAGAACCAGCACACATCATGTTAGGGTAGATTGAATTGTGGTAATAATCAGCAGAGTTGCACTTCTCTCTGCCGACCACAGTCACATTGACAGACATCAGGACGTCGGACATTATTCCCTCTTCATAGTCTGTTGTTCCCCATCCAGCCACCAGACAAACGGTTCCATGTTCTGGATCTTGGGCACAAGGATTCAGCTTCAGAACGTTGACCCATTCGGTAAGCTTCACTGGCTCCTCAAGCTGAAAACACAAYAAATTGTATTTAAAACTCTATAGGTTTCAGGCAATACACATTACTTCAAGGAGTACAAGGTCTGTAATTTGTTTCTGTAACTCAGACATAAGCTTCCTGTTTGTTCTGTCACCTCACCTGGAGCAACAGGAGGTCGTTTTGGTTCGTATTTGGGTCATAGTAGGGATGAGGAAAGCGTCCGATCACTTTTCGGWCCTGCCTGTATTTGCATTCATTTCCTCCGTTGATAGAGTGCACCCCCAGAGTCGCTGTCTCAATTCTGCAAGAGCAAACAAAATATAACAAGGTAGTTTTAAATTCACCTGGAAGATGACACGCTATTTACATAATGCTGTGACGAAGTTACAAAAAAGCAGATTTTAGATTCAAAGGATATTCAGACTGACATGTGGCTGATGATCATGAGAGTCTTTAATTCTTATTTTAAGAAGGTTAGCAACATTTGGAGTTTTAAAGGTTTACATAGAAAATGTTTTTGTGTTGTCTTGTGAACTTGGAGTTATAAATCTATGTTGTATTGAAATGAAATAATATTTGGGAAGACTATGAGATTTATTCAAGAGTGTAACATTAAATATGAACGAAACATATCATTGGTGTGGCTCTGAGACCCGACTGTTTCAACTCAACAAAAAGAGTAGTAATGTACATGAAATACCTGTTAGGTGTTTTTTTTTTAAAATAAGAATAACTGCTTGATAGATGCAAATGTAACACATAAGATGTTAAAGTTCTTACTCGGTGCAGTGTGCAGCAGTCAGGACCCATCTTGGATGGATTAAAGTCCCTCCACAGAATGGTTCGTCTGACCCCAGCAGAGCCATGAAAGGCAGCGAGTGTGGCTGCACTTCTTCTCCATTGATGATCTCAGATCCATGACCTAACACAAAAACACAAACAGATCATTGTTATACAAAAAAATAAATAAACAAAATAATGTGAATTCTGACAAAATAACTGCACTTAATGAATACTCACTCAAGTTGACAACMWGGACAATTGTCAAGGAGAGGAAAACAACAAAACCCCTGAGAGAGAACATTTCCTCCTGTCTGCCAACAATCTGGTGATGATCCACCTCCTCTGAACYGTTACTTTGGCTTTTATGTGTTCGTTTTCTGCGAAAGGTCTGATCGTCAAATACCACAAGTGCTTCTGAAATGATATCTGTATCTGAAGGAAGGAATKTATCAGATCTGATTTGAATTTTTTTTTACTGGTTGTGCAATAAACAGCTAAACATGGTTGTAAATAAAAAAAGATATGCCTCCAACTTGAAAGGGTTATGATACAAAAAAAAACTGCAAAACATATTAAACAAAACTACAAAAGATGATGCACGGTTGCTTCTAAAGGGCACATAATACAGTCAAACACTGCATAATGTAAAAGAACAAGTATCTTTTATCCTTTATAGTTTTTTTGTTGCATTGCAAAATAAATTTAACATACACAATTGATTCTATATCTTTTTTTATATTAAATTAAGTTCTAAAAAAATATTATAAAAATATTGGCGGGCCGGACGGAAGTTTCCTGCAGGCCAAGTGTGGCCCGGGGACCTCCAGTTGACTATCCCTGGTTGAAGTGATRTAAGGTCATCAGGCCCTCCATGCAGCTTTGGAGTTTCAGTATTTGATTGTGTGCATCAGGTTTTATGGACAGGTAGAGCTGGGTACCACAGGCGGAGCAGTGCTTCCTGAGGATGTCAATAAAGGAAGCGTGTTCAGTGAAAACATTACTGGTCCRAGCCCAGAACCCATGTGCTAAACTTAACTTTGTGAGGTGTAGAAAATACATTGTTGACCCAAACAAAGTTTAATAGATYGATCCCCATGGAATGATGCAGTCTGTTTTAAAATATGGTGAAGAACTTTTATTTGCTTAAACACAGC